AAAAAAGTATGGATTTGTTGTTCAATTTCCTCACTTTAATGAATTTGAAAACTGGTTGGAGTCCAGTTTCTCATTTGCAGGCTGCTGTTCTCTTCCCTTCCATGATGACTTGGTCCTCTGTCCTTTTAAACAGCACCTGTTAAATAGCTGTTAAATAACAGCTGTTTAACAGCTGTTAAATAACAGCACCTGTTAAATTGTCTTGGACATGGGTGAAAGCCAGTCAGGAAGGTCACCCTAAGCAAATTATCTCTATTAGCATCCACTCTGCCACCCTAACAGCCTTCTTGCAACAAGACACAAATATTCTCTGCTTATAAGAAACAGGATAATATTTGCAGAAATTGAAGCATTTGTATTTTGGTAGGAACAAGAAGAGGGTGCTATTATTGGATATTTTGTATGGAACGCTGAACTTTCTCAAGAGCTTAAAATCTCTACTTTATTCTACCTCGGAAGGAACGGTTCCTTTTTTTATATTGGCAGAACTGAGACTAGGATTAGTCACTGTGATGTGTAGCCTCATTACATTGATGCCTATGTCATTAAATTTCAGCATTGACCCACAGAAAACATCTCTCTCCAACCCATAGCCAAATATCCTTGATTTGCTCACTCAGACCAGGAAAATTAGCCCCACAAGTAAGAAGTAGGCAGTGGACTATTAATGTCCATTCTTACTTGACTGATCTAAACTATGTTCTGTCCTCTGGAACTCACTTTCATTTTTATCTATTTATGTATTCAGAAAATTTTGAATTTTAGAAAAGTAAAAAAAAAAATAGGATTAAAGATGGAAACTATTTTGCTACTGAAAATTTTAAACTAAAGTAATGATCTGTGTTCTTTTATGAATAGACTATTCACAGAATGTAAGTTTATTTTTTTAGTAACCTTTTTTTTTCGGGGAGGAGGTCTGGAAAGTAAAAAAAAAAAATGGTGTGTTATACAGTTCTGTAACCAATTTGGCTCATTGTAAGTATATATTGACTTTTTATGTATAATGTGGAACCAATAAAAAATAACAGACTGAAGTTGCTTGTAATCATGGGTGTTGGCCATTAGAAAAAAAAAAAGCTTCATGCATATGGTAACTGGCAACTTGAAAGTATCACGAACTGAAAATGTAAACCATATAAAGTGAGAGAGAAAAGGAGAGAAACTTACAGGAAACTCCAGTGATAAATGTGTTCTCTTTCCTCTAAACTGAATCCTTTATAGCCATTAAATGGTATCTTTCTCTTTTCCAATCAGGACAGCAGCAAAATATATACAACACACATTTCCTATTTGGAAATCTACAATGAATGTGGTTATGATCTGTTGGATCCAAGACATGAAGCCTCCAGTTTGGAAGATTTGCCGTGAGTAGCAGAACAACAAAGAATGGAGGGAAATTACTTTCAGATGTTCCCTTCAATTGTTTTCTTTGAAACTTTGTATGTTTCTGGTCTCAATCATAATTAGCAAATTCTGGCTAACAGAATCTTTTGGTGATATAATGGATATTCTTTTCAGTTATGACAAATGGACAGTAGTGATGGGAACAAAAATTGCCTATAACTCATTTCTTAAGAAAATCTCTTTTGGAGTTGGCATAAGAGAGTGCAGTGATTATTCTCTAAGAGAGGGTGGGTGCGTAGAGGGTGAGTGGGAGATGACAGTCCTACTTTACTCCTGCCACATGAAATCCTTTTGCTCCTTTAATTGTGCTTTTTTCTAACAAGTTATTTAAATTAGAGTTCAAGCAGCAATGAGAAAATCTGAAAGAAGTAAAATAAAATTTGAAGTTTCCCCCAAATATTTCTCTACTATCATTTGATCAGATTGGCACTGATTGTTTCATGACTGAAATTTAAATAGAGTCTCTAGAGCTTATCTTTAATAGAGTAAGTTATCCTGCCAGCATTTATGTAACATTGCTCAATGCTTGTTTGACTATCTACCTAAATTAGACATATATTAATTGGTGATAGTTCACATAGTTTTGTGTAGACATCTTCATATATCAGAAGTAGCCTACAGCCAAGAAAATGTATTTTTAATATTTTTTTAGCAATTCTCTAATATAATTTAGAAATATATATTAATTATCTACAACGAAGATCAACAACCAGTTGATTATTGTAATTTTCAAAGAAATTAAGAAGAAATAATAAAAAAGGTATACTCTTTACACCACCCTTGTATGTATTCTTTCATTAGTTTTAGTTGAGAGTTTTTGCATATCATCTCTTTTATGCTTATAATATTTCTGAGAGGGACCTAGTAAAGGGGACTATAGCTTATAATCTAAATATTTGTATAAGAATTAAGATAAAGGAAAAATTACTGACTCCACAGAAGAAAGGGACCTTTAAAAAACTATTAAAATTAAGTTTACAAAAAAAGGTAAGACTTGTTATAGATAGGAACAACTATGTTAAAGGTATGAAGGTGTGGTCAGAAAGGGAATATATTGAGTGTGATGGTTTGAATGTTTTTGAGCTTCCAAAACACATATGCTAAATCTTCATCACCAGTGTGATGGTACTAGGAAGTGGGGCCTTTGGAGAGGTAATTAGGTCATGAGGGTGGAGCCCTTATGAATAGAATTAGTTCTCCTATAAAATAGGCCCAAAGGCTTTGTTCACATTTCTTTTATCATATTGAGGATACAGATAGAAGTTGGCAGTCTGCAGCCTAGAAGAGGGCCCTCACCAGAACCCAACCATGCTAGCAACCTGATCTTGGACTTTCCAGTTTCTAGAATTGTGAGAATTAGATTTCTGTTGTTATAAGGCATCTAGCCTTTGCCATTTTGTTGTAGTGGAGTGGTCTAAGACAATGAGTCATTGGATATAAAAGCAGAAAGGTCAACTAAAGCCAGTTTTTGGAGGGACTTGCATCATAGGCTTTTAATGGGAGATTTGTCTTTATTTTAATATATTTCTTAATTAGTTTTCTACCCTGCAGTCTAACCTATTTGCCTCCAGGCTAAATCTTGCCTGAAATTGATTCCCACAAGCCACATCTACATCTAAGAGTTCAAAGTCTGTTAATAATAATCCAGGATGAAGGGCTTGGCTATGATGAGCATGGAGGAGGAGAGATGAATTCAACAAATATGCCAAAAAATGAAATAAAGTAAATTTGATTTTACTTACCACCTTGGATTTGATTGTATTTGAAAAGAAGTGTGACTCTATAATAGAATGCCCTCCTCATTTTACTGATTGAGGAGATTAAGCCTAGAGAAGTATAACTTGCCCAGAATTTCAAAACTAATTGGTTAATGGTACAGCAAGGATTAAAAACCACATACCAGAGTATCACCTTCATGCCACAGTAGCAAAAAGAGCTTCAAGATTTTTATACTGCGTCCTAGAGAATTAAGAAGTCTTTGACCCAAAAAGGAGGTTTCCATTAGAAAACTTGACTGGGTAATGATGATAAATTTTGCTTATATAACTTTGGGGTCTTACAACACTGTACTGGATATTTATATTTATAATAAATTCCTCAGAAGTAGAAAGTATATCTTACTGCTAGTCACTCTACTGCCTAAGCCATAGTAAGTCCTTAATACTTCTTAAAATTGTTTAAAATTGTCTGTTTAATTGAAATAGACTTTTTGAAGACAAGAATATAGAGTGGTGTTTTCCACCATTTTTATCTCATGGCATGCCTGAACCTATGGTTAAAATTCCATAGCACACTTAAATTGTGTTGATTGAAAAAAGAGCATACTTAATATGCTTTGAATTTCTTTTGAAAATAATTTAATGTTCTTTAAAAATTTCTGTGGCACACCTACGGCCAAGGCACACTGGTTGAAAATCACTGGTATAGAGGGGACAAACAAACATGAGCTCTTTCATCTGAATCTAATTGACATGATCAGGTGCTGCCTTACTATGGAAAGAACTATGAATGGAAAAGGTCCATGGAACTCTAGGAAAGGTAGTATAATATAGAGTAAGACATATTTGATTAGAGGAAGTCATTTTTCTGGGTTTTTCTCTTTCTATAAAACGTGGATTAAGTAATATTTAACAACCTTTCAACCTCCAATATATAGAGTTAAAAGACTGTTGACCTTATTTAATAGGATAGGACTTATTCAATTACTCTTCTCTCCTTCTCAGAAGAATAAAAAGTGCTTTTGATAATTTTTAATGTCCTCCTAGAAAAAAGGAAGCCTCTTGAGAGCAAGGAGAATGCTTTGGTTCACTCCTTGTCCTCTTATGTTTCTCAGTATGGTGACGTTAGAAGTCAGTCTCACTGTTGACCAGTTTTCCCTTTGTAGATGTTGCTAGCTTTCTATCTTCTTTTCTACTATTCCTTCTGTAGTATCTTTGTCCTCTTGTTGAAGAATGAGTTCAGCAACTCAAGTAAGAAGCGATCTCATTTACAAAACAGATGTTTTCAACAAACTACCTCACACATACACAAAAGTGGTCTGAAAGATGTTCTTTTTATTCTTACATTTTGGACTAATTATGTGACAAATCCTATTAAAATTAAAATGTCATTAAGAAAGAAGATTCCCATATCCATGTCTATAGCCTACTACTTCAAATATATTTAGTACTGTACAATTCAAGAACAATTTAAGAATTGGATAGTCTTTGATGTGGAAATAATGAAATTTAACTGGTATTCAGTCTGCTAATTTTCAGGGGGGGGGGTTAGAAGGGTTTGTCTTTTACTGAGATTACAATGTAATTCTTTATAATGGAATATAACTCTTATTGTACCTGAATGGATTAAAAGTATTCACTGTTAATCTTTACTCACTCTTGAACTGGGACAAACTCTAATTCTGAAATTCTGTCTGTCTGGGTGCTGTGTGCTAATATGTCCCAAACACTATGAATGCCTTGAAAATTATTGGGCAAAATGTCTTTGATGTTGGTTCCTTCTTGTAGTTATTCATTTGAAGGATAATGGCAAATGCCCATTTGATCATTTCTGCATTCTTATACAAGGCTTAACTATGTAAAATCAAACTAAAGGTCTTTTTGATGGTGCCCAATAAAGCCATCTGTATAGCTTTCTTACCATCAAGTGAGTAACACAACTTTCCTGAACATTGCCTGCTAGGTGCTCACCTCACACACACTCTGACTTTCCTGATTTTTTTTTTTTAACATTCTAATGAGTTTTACCTCTTATTGTTGCAGAAGCATTTGATTATAAACTCCCTATGGACTTTGTACATATGATGTCAAGGCACTAGACTAAAGTCCATTGCTTTTATAAAAATGCTGCTATAGTCATTTGTTTAGTAAATATGAGATATACTGACATCTAAATTGGCAATCAAAAGTAATTAAATGAAACTCAACCAAGATGAAATGCATTATTGAATATTTGATGACTATTTTAGAAATTGAATTCATAATTTAAAAGCTCTATAAAAAGAAATGTCCAGGACCAGGTGGTTTCACTAGTGAATGCTACCAAACATTTGAGGATGAATTAACACAAATTTAACATGGTCTATTTTAGGAAATAGAAAACAACATTTCCCAATTTGTTCTATGAGGCTATACTGCCCTGACATTATATATACAAAATCCATAAGAAGTTTGTAAGCAAAGATATTACAGAAGAAAGGAGAGAAGGAAGAGAGAGAGAGAGAGGGAGAGAGAGAGACCCAAGCCAGGCAAAGATAGGACAGGAAAAAAAGCCTACAAAGTAATATTGCTTATGAATGTAGGCTCACAAATCATCAACAAAATGTTGGCAATTGAATCTAACAATGTATAAAATGAATTATATACCATGATCAAGTGAGTATTATTTTAGATTGCAGAGCTAGTTCAACATTTGAAAATCAATGTAACCCACTAAATCCAAAGGCCAGAAATGAAAAATTATATGTAGCTCAGAAAAAGCATTTAATATCCATTCATGATAAAAATCTCAGAAAGTTAGGAATGGAGAAGAATCACATCAACTTGTTAAAGAGCGTCTACAAACAAAATGTATAGTAACTTCACATCTAATGCATTCTCCCTAAAATCAGGAACAATGAAAAAAATTCCACTTTCATAACTATTATTCAATATACTATGGAAATACTAGACACTACAGTGAAGCAAGAATAAGAAATAAAAGACATATATATCAGAATGGAAGAAATAAAACTGTCCCTGTTGTGCAGATGACATGAATTTCTACTTAAGAGTATCCCCAAGAATTTACAATCTCTTCTGGAAAAAAGAAGCAGAGGGAATACTTGTTAACTTATTCACTGTGGCTAGGATTATATACATACCAAAAGCAGATAAATGCATTACAAGAAAAGAAAACTACAGACAAATATCTCTATGAACATAGATACAAAAATCCTCAACAAAATATTAACAAATCAAAT